AAATATGTTATGCAGAAAAATATACTGAACAACTTTTGCCTTGTGGTCATATCCAAAAACGTTACTGGATTTAAAATAAAAAATCACATACGTTTCATGTTTTTTTTTGGGAAAAAAAAACAACAACAGCTTTTGCCTCAAGAAAATTAGTTTTTGAATTTTTAAAATTTGAAGAAAAAGTCAAAAAATAAAATAAAAAAATTTGCAATTTAGATCTCGAAAAGATCTACAATCCCATTTTTTTTATTTTATTTTTTTGATAAAGTTTTAAGGTGGAAAAAAAATCATGAAAGTCACGGCCGCACCCAACCGCAGTCGGAGCCGCGGCGGCCGTGATCACGTCCGCCCTCCGAGCTGACCCCGCGGACGCGTCCGCGGGTGTTTCATAGAGCACGGGCGCACGGAGGTACACACGCGCGTGGCGGGACTGCTCGACGATGAAATGCCCGGAGTCAATTCGCCTGGTGCCGACTCACATTTATAATGTGGGCGTTCATGTCTTTCCACCAGTGGGAGGGTGACGATGACATGCACGGAATGATTATGCGAAACATCACAACGGCGATCACCTCAACAGCCACACGACCCAACAGAAGGATAAAAGAATGGATGACACGCAAAAGCGAACCCACCACGCCGCCCCCTTCTGCACGGGCGAAAAAAAGAAAGCGAAAACCCAGCCCATACAACAACCCCCCCCCCCGCCCTCCAACTATCCCCCCCCCCCCCCCCCCCCCCCCCCCCCCCCCCCCCCCCCCCCCACCCCCCCCCCTGCGCCCCCCCCCCCCCACTCCCCCCCTCGCCCCCCACCCCCCACCGCACCCCGCCTTGGCGCCGGCCCGAAAGGTCCAACGATGACATCGCATCGCTTCCATGCCAGTCCTCCCCGCAAAGCTTCAACTGCATCATCATCAATGAAATACAAAAAAATAAAAAAAATAAAAATAAAAAATGTTCATGCTACATGCCGGCAGATGCAGAGCGGACGGCCGTTCAATCGCACCAATCTCCCTGGCTGGCTGATCTCGTCGACACACCGTCAACGGACGGTCGACTCGCTTATTCATCACAGGAAAAAATAACAAAAATAATAATAATAATAATGCAAACTACAAATGCAACCACTGGACCTCAATCAACACACGAACGAATGGCCTACATCGTCGAACGACCACGAATGGTAGCACCGATCTCCAGAAGCGTGTGGCACATCATCTTCTGTGTTTCATCGGACGCCGTGTAATGCGCTTTTTGAACCACAACTTCCTGCTCGAGTATGTCGCATTGCCTCGTCAATATACTGCATTGTCACTTGCTAGACGAATCGATCATCGACGACATCAGTTCGCCATGGCGGTCCATGACATCAGCGATCGACTCCGACGCCTGTTGACGCGCATTCTTCCGCTTCCTGCCACCAGCCTTACTGCCTGTGTTATGATCCAAGTCCCTGGCCAAAGAGCAATATTCAGGGCAGCCATCACCACCGGCCTCATTATCGAAAGACTCCCCACTGTCGACAAACTCCCCAAAAAAGAAGCAAGCACAATTTAAAGGAGATTCAAACCAGCAGCTACTCAGCCCTGTATGGTTGCGGATACATGTGAGGGACGCCGGACCCGCTTCCTGGCATATAATGGGCAAAAAAATTGGAACAGAAAGAAAGTGAAAAAAAAAAGAGAAAACTACGGCGCAGTCAGGGTTACAGTTTGTAATTGCATTCGAAACTGCGTTTTAGCAGTTTAGTCAGGACGGGAGTTTCAATTGCAGTTTAGTCAGGGTCCAAGTTTCAATTGCAGTTCAGTCAGGGACCTAGTTTGTAATTGCATTTGGAACTGGGGCTTGCTTTTTCGAGCAGTTCAGTCAGGAACATGGTCGTTTCTTTCTTTCCTGTGTCTTTTT